TTATGTTGAAAAAGCTCTCTGTGAACCATTCATCAGATAATTACTGGTCAATATCCAATAATCTGGTTTTTGGCAAAGTATGAGAGTGGGTGGTGGCTTCTCAACTCCAACAGTTCTTGAATGAAATGGAACATTTAGATACATTTTCAGGCCTGATTATGGGGCAGAGATGGCTTTGGTCACTATGGTGTGGTTATGGGGCAGAGATGGCTTTGGTCACGATGGTACATTATCTACAACAGGAACTAGATGGGCAAGTATATCCCTGCTGGTTCTGCTGGACCTTTCAGTAGATTTTGATATTATTGACCACGAATTCACCTGAACTGTCTCTCTGGGATGGGACCTGAAAACACTGTCTTATGGTGGCTCCAGTCCTACCTGGCAAAGCAAACTCAGATTGTGGTCTTGGGGGCTCCTGTTTGACAGCTTGACCTTTGGTGTCTGTCCCTTTAGGGTTCTGTTTTTCCCCCATGCTACATGAAAATGATTAGAGAGGTTGTCCAGAGTTTTCGAGTTTGGTGACACATGTACAAGGATGAAATAAAGGATAGATGTGTGGTTGATACAATTAAAATAGTACATGTACAAGGATGAAATAAAGGATAGATCTGCGGTTGATACAATTAAAATACTAATGCAAATATATATATATATACCACAAAAAACCCATCATACAATTTAATGCAAAAATAGGCAATACCTTTATATACCACAAAAAACCCATCATACAATACACTAGGTAATATTATTTTGACTTTAATCTGATCTTAACTAGCTAAAGTTACTCATGGTAATATTATTTTGACTTTAATCTGATCTCATCATCCCAGCTCCTGCAAGGAGTAGCTAGTTGACCATGAGCTCCAGAGTGATAGGGAATACCCAGATAGAGGACTTGGGTTTTCTGTGTCACACCCCGCCCCCAGCCAAGCAGAAACATGTCCATTTCTAAGAAAGGCCAAATGAGGAGGTGTGTGTTCACACATGGCCTGTAATTTTTTGTTTGAAGAACCGGGGGTTACACTCAATCCACAGCTGCCTAAGCTGTAAGCATAAAACTGCAACCATACTATTTCCTGACTTCATCTCAGAGTAACTTTCCTGGCAAAATCCATCTTGCCATGAACTTTTGGATTTTAAGTTCTTTACACTGGTACAAACCTGATGAAGTGGTTTTTGGTCCAAGGGAACTGGAAACTGTAGCTGGTACAAAATGGGACTGATTACAGGGAACATACAATTCCCTGGTACAGTAGCTTCACTGGCTGCTACTTTCTTTCTGAGCCCAATTCAAAGTGTTGGTCATCACTAGAGATGGGGGCATTTGTATTCATATACCCCTGCAGAGGTGGAGATAACAGAGCAGCCTGCTGCTGCTGCGGGCTCTGCACTCCCTTCTAATTGCTCTGGAGCGCTGGTCTGTGAGCCACTCTTTGACCTGACAGGGAGACTCATCATCCCAACTCCCGCAAGGAGTGGCTAGCTGACCACGAGCTCCGGAGTGATAGGGAGTACGGAGCCCATGGCAGCAGTGGAAGGGTGAGTGGACAGTTCAGCCCCAGGGGGCTGGACCCTTGTTATCTCCGCCTCTGTGGGGGTATTCATATTCAAATATGAATATCCCCATGTCTAGTTATCACCTATAACACCCTATATGGCATAGATCCAGGTTATCTGGTGGACCATATCTCCATAGACAAAACCTACTTTGGCTGTTAAGATCTTCCAGGGAGGACTTTCTCTGAATCCCATCACTCTTACAGGAATTTTTTGACAGAAATCGAAGAAAAGGCTTTCCTGATGGCTACTCCCAGATTATGGAATGGTGTCCCTCACAAGGCTAGGGTCACCCCCTCTTTCTATCCTTACAGTGATGATTAAAAACCTTTCTTTTTGTACATGTTTTTAATACAGTGCCTGATTTTAACACAAGTTAGATGTCTTAAGGGTGCTGCTTTTATATCCTTTTAAATGCTTTTAACTTTTAGAAATTGTTTCTAGAAAAGTGTTTTAATATTCCTATGTTAAATTGCTTTTAAATAGTTTATTAATTTTGTTTTAAATTCCTTTTTGTTTTAATCTACGTGTGAGCCTCCCTGAGTCTCTTCACTGGGAGACTGGCAGAATAAAATGAATACATGAATGAACAAATACCTTAGCTTAATAAGCTAAAAACTGATTAAACCGTCTGGCACCTTATGTGGCCATTTCGGTCCTCTCTTATGAATAGGAATAAATCAGGTACATTTTCTATTAATTATGAGTAAGTTTTCCATCAAGTATGGTTCTCCATTTCATCTGAACTTGGAAACTATACTCCATAACATAACCAGCTCCATAAGATTTCAAACTATGGCATAAAACACTGGCTTCTAAAGGTGCTATCTATGGTTTCCTGGTTCAGAAAAAAAAGAGATAAATCTACAGTCAGCAGAGGACCTACTGGTTTGTATGTTTTCTTCTCTCATATAAAAGGACTGCATGGAGGGCAAAAAGTGTTGTTCATAACTACAGCAGTCTTATTAATACTATTGCCATCTTAGAACTTGCAAAACTTTACCATGAGCAAAAGAGATTTACACACAAGAATAAGGAAGGGGCTCCAATTTTCAACGATGCTACCCTTGCCTTGTCTGTAGTCTTCAGAATTATGATGTACACTGTTTTGGAGACCTTGCCAAAAGTGGGAGTAAGATAAATGAAAATTCTCATTTTATGAATGGAACTTTTCTCGTGGTTTAAAAAATTAAAGCATAAGAATATCTCAAATGAATTCAGCAACCAGATGATTTCATATGAATTATTTGCGTCACCTTTGCTACTTGAGGCACTGTTGCAAATAAAAAAAAAGCAACCAAATTCAAATTTTCTATGATGACCCAAAATCTTTCCCCTCATATTACTGCAAAAATTAGTTACACAAGAAGAGAAGATATTTCTACAAAAATGAAAACTGAAAGAGATGAATGGTTAAGTTACAATTTAAAAAAACAGCAAAACTATTGTAATTGGCCTAACTTACAATTGATTTTCTGTAATGAAGCAAGTACTGATCTTTCCTGGGTTGTCATGTCAGCAGGAAAAGACATGTCCAGTGTTCCAGAGTATATAAAAATGATGGTTTCATGGCCTTGCCAGTGCTTCACACTTCTGCTTTTCAGCATTTTCAGTTAGACTAGCTGAGATGCATTGCTATTTTCACTAACATAAGTTTATTAGAAATCATTAACACACATCAACATTGACCCTCATTTGTCAGAACCTGGCACAGCTCCTGACCACTGAAGATTAATTTCATGCTTACTGTGCACTAGATCTTTTAAAGCATAATTACGCTTTTACAAAAAACAAAATTGCATTTTGCAATGGCAAAAAAATCAGGATTCTTATAAATTTTCTGCAAAGTTTTTGCTCTTATGAAGCTAGACTGTCTTCTGCAGGCAACATTCAAAACAGTAAAAGTTAAAATATTTTCATAGTAAAAAGAAAGAAAACTTTCCTTCTACTCTTTTCAAAGGAAGAAAAAACTTAAGGTCAGAAAAACCATATTTCTCTTCTGTTTATTTACAATTGCTTCAAAATAGAAAAAAAGATCATGCTTATAACCAAGCATCTCAGCTATGGCACCATAATGAATGAAATCTAGTGTTACACAGGAAGAAATCAAGCTCCCAGACTGCCTCCTTCCTTTCCTTTCCCCTGCTGTAGAAGCCTCAGTTTGCAATGTTCTGTTTGTCTCTCTGACAAGATATTGTATTGGGTCATTTTATTTGTGAGGGGAAAGGAGAATGGAAGAGTGGATTGTGTGTATCTCCCACACCTCTCCTGTTATCAGTCAGGTGGAGGAGCAGCTTTAGTGGGCTTTTAATCACTTAACACTGATGTCATTAATATGAAAAAATTAGCTACATTGTCATTCTCCAACAGCTAAGGTGCTGAGTCCTAGAGTCCCTTGGAAATGCACCCAGTAGATACAAAACTGCCTTGATCCTACCCTGTCATACTATACCTATCAGATTTACAGTAAGAGAGGCTCATTCAGTGCTCCATTGTAAAGATACAGGGCCCACTCCTTGCAGCTTCAATCTACCTGCAGAAAGATGTGACTATCCAGTCTTCACACATGCCAGCAAGAGGATTTGGGAGTTAAAATTTCTCTGCCTAAAGAGTACAACATCGGGGTCTATTCTAAGCACTCCTTCTCTAACCTCCAAACTTTATCAAAGACTAGAATTATAAGGAGGCCTTCTGAAGTAGCCAAGAACATGGAAGCCTATGCACCAAGCTCATCAGCTGATGTCACTTCCTCTCTATGCCAGCTCTTTACAATTCCACAGCTAGGAAAGTCTATTTATATCCATATGTCAAAATGTTAAGACCTCAGTTCAAAGCAGGCAGTTTGAAGGATATTGGAAAGCAGGCTCACCCCACTCCACTCTCTTTCCCGTCGCTTAAAGCTTCTTAGTATATATTTCTTTTACTAGATGTGTGAATTGAAGTCAACTTCAGAACGTCCACACAAACAGTATAATGAGGAAATTGTAGGGAAAGGAAGGCTCCCTTCAGGTTAATATGAAACTATCATTTCTTTAATATAGTGAGCCAGTTTCCTTACACTAAGAGGCTTTGAAAATCTTCTGATATGTCAAACAAGAACTAAACTATCCAGGAACAGTTAAATAGGATTTCATTTTATTCTTTCTTATAAAAATGGAGAAGTACATTCAAAAATAATCACTATTTCTTGATTTACATAGTATGATGAGGTTAAAGAAATCAAAGAAAACAGTGTCACTTCTCCCAAGATATCACACTCCAGAAAGCACAGCAATCTTTGTATAATATGGTACCAATGTCACAACTCAATCCCCACAAACTGTTTAGTTGAATTGCTATAATTTATAGATTAGAGTATTCCACCCCCCCCCATGTTATTCATATTGGGTTCCAAAGGACTGAATGTATTAGCTATGCAGGAATCACTTTAGAAAATGTACCTCTGCGTTCAAGTTGTCTGCAAGGCTTTCAAGAAACTGGCTCTCAATTGGGTTCTGCTGAGTAAGCAGAGTCAGGTAATGACTTAGTTTCTCATATGTTGTGATAATGACACCTTCTCCAAATTTGTCAAACTGAGGCCGTCCAGCTCGACCAAATATCTGCATGACATCTAAAATTCCAAGGTCAACAAAGGAGCCCCTTTTTGCTGCGTAGATCTGAGTTCCCTGGATGACAAAAAGTTAATAAAAATTAACATAAACACACACAAGCATAATCCAGATGAGCTAGAGACCAAAATTAGGTAAATACAGCAGGATTTCAAAAGTATACTTAAACTAATCCTTTCATAATCTGTGATATATTTAAATCTTTACTATCCAATCAGATTCCCAAAGGGGAAAGTCAGTATAACAAGCAGCCCACCATAATAACACTGCAAGATAATTAGCAGCATCTTTTCCCTGCACATTCACACTTTCTTTTGCAAGCAACATTTAAAAATTATTTCTTGCTGTATGCCACATTATAGATTTTTAGTGGTTGATAGACATAGACAATATGCTCTTACCTTAATAATGACAGCATGAGCTGGAAGATTGACACCCCAGGCTAATGTAGCTGTACAAACCAAGACTTTTATATATCCACGAGAAAACAAGTTCTCCACCAAACTCCTATCTTGTCGCAGCATTCCTGCATGATGAATACTGAATCCATCTGGAAACATTTCACGTAATTGCTTGTTTCTAGACTTATGCACCTGTTCATGGATGAGGAGGAGAAAATGGGAATAAAGAATGTTCACAGCAGACTACAATAATCCTAGATATATAAAATCATCATATCTTTCAATAATATGCATGTAAAGATGATGCAAATAAAATAGACCTCTAATCATATAAGTGAGTGGTTACTGATATTACTGATCAGCTCTCATGCTGAAGCAGGCCTTTGGAACTGCAACAGAAGGTGTCTATCTCCAGACTAGATCAGACGGAAAGCTCTTTAATCTCTCTAGATTGAGAGCAAAGACCAAAGTCCAACTGAAATGCATGCGGGACTTCCTCTTCGCTGATGATGCAGCCATTGTTGCCCACTCTGCTGAAGAGCTCCAACAACACAGGAATCATTTTAGCAATGCCTGCCAAGAATTTGGACTAAAAATCAGCCTGAAGAAAACACAAGTCATGGGCCAGGGCGTGGACTCACCTCCCTCTATTACTATCTCTACACAAGAATTGGAGTTTGTTCATGACTTTGTGTACCTTGGCTCAACAACCTCTGACACTCTCTCCCTAGATGTCGAGCTGGATAAATGCACTGGCAAAGCAGCTACCATGTTCTCTAGACTCACAAAGAGAGTATGGCTTAATAAGAAGCTGACAGCATATTCCAAGATCCAGGTCTATAGAGCCTGTGTCCTGAGCACACTCCTGCACTGCAGTGAGTCCTGGACCCTTTGTGCACAGCAGGATAGGAAGCTGAACACATTCCATATCATTTTGGTATCACCTGGCAGGACAAAGTTCCAAATAGAGTAGTCCTAGGACAAGCTGAAATTTTTAGCATGTATACATTACTGAAACAGTGATGTCTACATTGGCTTGGGCATGTCGTGAGAATGACTGATGGTCAGATTCCAAAGGATCTCCTGTATGGAGAATTAGTGCAGGGAAATCGCCCCAGGGGGAGACCACAGCTGAGATACAAGGATATCTGCAAGTGGGATCTGAAGGCCTTAGGAATGGACCTGAACAGATGGGAAACCTTGACGTCTGAGAGTTCAGCCTGGAGGCAGGCGGTGCATCATGGCCTCTCCCAATTTGAAGAGACACTTGTACAGCAGGCTGAGGCAAAGAGGCAGTCCCGAAACCAGCAAAACCAGGGAGCTGGACAGATTGTATTTGTCTTCAGTGTGGAAGGGATTGTCACTCTCGAATTGGCCTTTTCAGCTACACTAGACGCTGTTCCAAGACCTCCCTACAGAGCACGCTACCATAGACCCTCGAGACCGAAGGATGCCTACTACTACTGATGTTACACAAAACTGGTTTCATGGTTCAAAAGGGCAGCTCCACAGGCATATAAGACTTAAATATAGGAGTCTATCAAGGCTCAGTGGTGTTCAACTAAAATCAACAGGCAACTGAGCCTTTGTGATAGAAGGCCCATCTTTGGGGAATTTACTCAACCCTGATTTTCAGTCATGCTCCTTCCTTCTTCTTGGTTCAAAGAACAGAATTTCTACCCCTGGAATATAACCATTAACCACTGACTCAGAAGAGGCCCTAAGTAAGCAACAGAAAAGCAAGCAAGCAAAAAAACATTAACAGACATTGCGAGATTGGAAATTTGATATATAAAGCTGTTAAGGTCAGTAATGTATTAGTTTGTTACACTAGTGTAAGTGCAATTGTGTGAACTGCAGTGACAAATTGTCACTACTTTATCACTTGCTGCTTGTACCCTTTGTTAAGTGCCATTCATATGAGCTGGAGTGCAAAAGGGATATAAACAGCAACTTGTTAAATAGGGGTAATTTTGCTGCTGTAATTTATGTCACTGCACTCATGTTGACTTAATTAACGAATAAAAATTTAGCCTTAATTATCTTTATGACCATTATTTGCTTGAAAGCCAGGGGATACCTACCAATCATCACCTTTTTTATTCATCATTAATATAATGTTTTAAAAATCTGGAGGAGGCGCTGATGATGGACTCCTTGGAGGGTTAAAAACTTCACAGAACCCCTCCAAGTGGATCCTGACCAGGAATAGTACAGCTCTAAACCTTTCAGAGTTGGGACTCACTTTGGGACCAGGCAGGCATTTGGGGAGCCTTTTCTTAATCTGTTGCAATTGATGGTTCATAGGTTTTAATTGGTGCAGAATGCAGAGTGAGAATGCTTGCAAAATGCAACAATGAGAATCTAAGCTGCAAGTTCTGATCACATTCCCTTTACTCTGTGCCCCTTACACACCGGCTGATTACCGTATTTTTCACTCCATAAGATGCACCTCTCCATAAGATGCACCAAATTTTGAGAAGAAAACAGGAAAAAAAAAATCAGTTTTCTTCTCCTAAAATTGGTGAGCCTTATGGAGAGGTGCATCTTATGGAACACACCCTAGGAACCTTTGGAGGCTCACCCTGCCCCCCAGAGGCCAGAGGGGGCGAAATCGCCACCTTCTGGGACTCTTCTGAAGCTTCCCAAGCCTCAAAAGACTCNCTCCCAAAAGGTGGCGATTTCACCCGCGCTGGCCCTGTGGGGGGGTGGGGGGAGCGTCGCAAGGGTCATGGAAGGCTCACTTGGATCCTTGCGACGCTCCCCCCACCCCCCACGGGGCCAGCGGGGGCAGAATCGCCCTGGAAGCCGGCAATTTCACCCACGCTGACCCCGTGGGGGGTGGGGTGGATGGAGCATTGCAAGGGTCCGAGTGAGCCTTCCAGGACTCCTGTGACACTCCCCCCACGGGGCCAGTGGGGGCGAAATTGTGGCCTTCGCTCCATAAGACGCACTGACTTCCCCCCCACTTTTTTTGGGGGGGGAAGTGCATGCTATGGAGCAAAAAATATGGTATTTGTTTCTGTAACCAACTGAAGACACAAGTGTAATATTTATAGACCTACCTGCTTTGGAGCCAACAACCTGCATTCATGAATACTTCCTCAACTCCTAAGGCCATTATCAGAAGGCCTGTGATTTGATCATCATTAAGAGATAAGGCTGTAGAAGTATTCTTCTCTATATGCAGTGGCACCACCACCAGAATATCCTTCCAGGGAAACCTGTTTTGTTCCTTCATTTGGAAAGCTTTTAATAAGTAAATTACCTTATAAAATAAAAAGGGACCTTTTTATCCCCATGAGTTTTCCAGTGATTTATCATACTGTAATGTTTTATCTGATACTATTTTAATTATTTTGTTATTTGGTACTGTCATGTTAGTTTGCTTTACTGACTCAGATGCAATTGCTGTTGTTTACCTTATGTTTTTGTAACTTTCTGTATGATCTTACTCAGATACAAAATGCGAATTGTGGGCCAGCTTGGGGTGCAGGATCTATCCTGAAAAATGGGTTTCTAATTCCAACCACAAATGAATGAATGAATTAACATGTATGCTGCTGCTGTGACACATCTTAAGAATGTGAGCTAGTAGAGGATCCCAACCCATCTACTGAAAACCTGCAGTGTAAAAGAGACAGGAAGTTGCTGAATACCAGATGTATCATCCAGAGAAATTCTTTGAAAGGCTCAGTATAAAAGGGAGTGAGGTTAAACTTTTCTAGCTTAGCAGTTTCCATAACGAAGCTAAGTTACTGCTACATTATATCTACTCCCAGTTAAGTGCCAAAGAGCTAGAAGACGTAAAAGACAACATTTAATCCTACATTTTTTTTTACCACACCATACAATACCATCACTTTTCTTCCTCTTAAGTACCCTACGTCAGTGGTCCCCAATCTTGGGCCTCCAGATGTTCTTGGACCTCAACTCCCAGAAATCCTGGCCAGCAGAGGTGGTGGTGAAGGGTTCTGGGAGTTGTAGTCCAAGAACATTTGGAGGCCCACGGTTGCGGCCCACTGCCCTACGTGGCACTTAGGACTAACCTTTTCTTGCTTTGATTTTAAAATAAATCACCTCCTGGTCTTCTGTCCTTGTCCCAATATACATCTTGAGCATGCCTTTCCCCCCTCTACTTCCATTGAGTTTTAAATATTTCTCTATACAGTGGTACCTCGATTTATGAACTTAATTGGTTCCGGAACTCCGGTCACAACTAAAAATGGTCGCAAATTGAAGCACCATTTCCCATAGGAATGCACTGAAATGCAATTAATCCGTTCCGGCAAAAAAAAAAAAAAATAACCAAAAGAATTTTTAAAAATAACCAAAAGAATTTTTAAAAATAAAAAAAAACACTGCAAGACCCATCGGAAACGTGACTAATCCCTTCTGGCCAAGGGGGGGGAGAGAAAAGCAAGCAAAGCATGCAAGACCCATAGGAAATGCAAAGAAAGCAAAGCAAAAAAGCAAGCAGAGCGTGCAAGACCCATTGTAAATGCAAAAAAGCAATGCAAAAAGCAAGCAGAACGTGCAAGACCCATCGGAAACTGGGGGGGACCCAAAAAGCAAACAAACTCTGCAAGACCCATTGGAAATGGGGGAAATGCCGAAAAACAAATAAACCCCCAAGACTCATCACAGCACAGAAACACAACACCCTCAGCCCAAAACCACACTGCAAAACCCACCCAGAACCATTTTTGAAAAACAGAAAGCAGCACCTTACCTTACCAGGCAGTCCCAAGCCTCCTCTGATCGTACTCACTCTAACTGCTAGGGCAAAAGAGCTACACAGAAGCAGCCTCTTCGCCTATTAATGGTTAGCAATTTGAATTTTCCGCCTTTTTCTGTTCATAACTGGAAGCTCCGGCCCCAAGTGTAAGCAAAATTTTGCAGCTGGAGCTGGTTATAACTTGAAATGGTCGTAAGTCGGGACATTTGTAAGTCGAGGCACCACTGTATTCAGATTCACAAGAACTTATTCTGGCCTTCCTTTTATTGGTATGGAAATCTTCTTTGTTCCTCTTTTCTTTTTAGATTCGCTACCAAGTCATCAATCATTTCTTTTACTATTTTATTTATTTATTTTATTGGATTCTTACCCCGCCCATCTAGACCAAAGGACTGCTCTGGGCGTAGACCTTTGGTCTAGATGGTTTCAATGTTCAAAACAATTTTAATGAGCA